TCAAGCAAACTGCATTAGGGCAGCGTAGCTAGTTATCTGTAAGGGGATTTGCAGGGTAGCTAATCAGAACTCACCGTCTCGGCCTTAGCCATCGTGTTCTCCGTCTCGGCCTGGTCCTTCTTAAGCGGGCTCACCATGACGAACATGACGACGCGGCAGCCCCGGCCGAGGCACGGGTCGAGGACGCGCGTCAGCGTGTGGCCGGGCCGCTTGGGCCTGCCCTCGGCCAGCGCCGTGATGGACTGGTTCAGCTCGAAGATGGAGCCGTTGATGGCCTTGGACTCCTCCAGCCGCTGGCCCGTCGCGCCCGTCTCCTTGTTCTTCTCCGAGCCCGCCAGGTCGATCAGGTTGAGGATGCCCCTGTCGACCCGCCCCTGCTCGGGCCCCTCGGCCAGCACCGTCCGCTGCAGCTTGAAGCACAGGATCAGGTGGGACCGCGACGAGCTCGCGTTGGCGTTCGTGGCGCCCACCACCCGGTTGTTCAGCGCCTGCTCGATCAGCCCGTCCACGGCCTCGTAGCTCGTCATCTCCTTCTCCGTCGCCTCGTCCATGCTCTTGATGGTGTGCTTCTTGCGCGCGTGCAGCAGGTCGATCAGGTCGTTGATGTACACCTCGACGATCGACATCTGCATGTCATACCGGTACCGCGCCCGGGTCGCGCTGGCGTCGGCGAACACCATGCGTAGCGAGCGGTGGATGATGCCGTCGTCGTCGCTGGCGGAGCCGCCCTCCGCGTCGACCCGGTGGTTCATGGTGAACGTCTTGCCGCTGCCCGTCTGCCCGTAGCAGAAGATCGTGACCTTCTTCCCCTGCATCGCCGACGCCGTCAGCTGGCTGATCTCCTCGAACACGTCCTTGTTGGTGTGCTCCGCTGTGAAGATCCGCTCGCACTCGAGGAACTTGCTCGACTGCCGGACTTGCCCCGTCGCCGTAGCCCGCTCCGCGATCACCTCGATCTTCTGGTAGTGGTCCACGAACTCGCCCCTGGCGGGGTGGAAGTCCACCAGCAGCTTCTGCGGCGTCTCAGGGAGAGGCGGCCGGATGCGGCACATGACCCGGATATTCCCCCGGAGCGTCTGCACTTGCTCGAACAGGTGACGCCTCCCGTACTCCTGAGCCTCGGACTTCTTTGCTAGCTCCCCGATGTGCGCTTGTAGTCTCTTAGTTTCCAGTTCCAAGTGTTTCCTTTCCGTATCCAACTCTCTTTGCAGCCTGTCTATTTCCGACTCGAGATTATCTCCTACGGTTTTAGCATTCGCCGCCGCGTTAGTGACAGTTGCTAGTTGGCTTTCTAGATCACCCTTTTCTTGCCTCCAGGAAGCCGCGGATCTCTCTAATGCTTCCTTGTCCAATCCTGTCTGCTGCATTTCTAGTCTTGCTGACGCGAGGGCTCTGTTTGCCTCCTCGAGGCGATCCGCCAACCCCTGAAATCGTTGCTGCATGTCTTCATTTTCTTCTTTCATTTTTCTTAGAAGCTCTGTGTCTTCTATGGGTCCGGTCTTTGGTAGATGACTTTCGTCAAGTACTTGGATTGGTGGCTGTTCCGTAATCATTTGCTGTGCAGTCTGTTGCTGGGTGTCAATCTTTCTCAAAAGTTGCTGGATACCTGTTAACTGGGTCTTGAGAGAAGCATCAGGTTCCTCTGGGCGAGTCCTTTCCAGGGCTTGCAGAATCTCTTGATGCTTTCGTTCAAGGTACTCTTTACCATGCTGTTCACTCCCAAACGTGTTTATGGCATTTTCTACATTTTCAAGCTGCACCTTGAACTCGCTCTCTAAGCTTTTGATGTTTCGTAGTTGCTCTTCGTGTTTCTCAATTATTTCTCTTCGGTCAGGATGTTGTGCCGTAACTTCTTTCAGAAGATCTTCGATGACAATGAGCGTTTTTACTTGTTCCTCGTGACGTTGAGCAAAGTTCTGGGTGCTGATATTGTTCACCAGGTTTCCAATGGAATTTAGCGCTTCCATCTGCTCTTGATGGGTCTGTGCGAGCTTCTCCTGTGGCTGTTGGGCGCTCAGGGCTTTGACAAGGTCGCCAATCATCTTCAACTCTTGAACCTGTTCTCGATGGTTTGCCTCGAGAAGGTCCTTGTCTGGTTGGTGTTCATCCAATTTCTTGATCAGTGTTTCGATCGCCCTGAACGATTCGGCCTGTTCCTCTTGTTTCCGAGTGGCAATGTCGGGATTATTCATATCCTTGAGGAGACTTTCTATCCCCCTGAGGATTTGAACCTCTTCATCGTGCTTTTGCGTGGCATTATCCTTGTCCAATTGCCGCGCATCGATATCTTCCAGGCGTTTCCCGATGGCGTTGAGTGAAGTGATCTGCGCTTCGTATTTGACGATGAGGTTTGCATCCAGTTGTCGTTCGTCCATTTCCTCAATACGCCTCCTGACTGCGTTCAATGACTCAACCTGCTCTTCGTATCTTGCCGTGACATTCCCGACCTCTACCTGCCGGGCACTCATGTCTTCGAGACGCTTTCCGATCCCATTAAGCGCATTCATCTGCTCTTGATACACGGCAGTAGCGTTGTCTTTATCTAACTGCCGTGCATCAATCTCTACGAGGTGCTTTTCGATCGCTTGAAGGGAATTGAGCTGCTCTTCGTGCCTTGTCGAGTCCCCCTCCTGATTTCGTTGCCGCTCATCCATCTTCTGCAGCTGCGCCTCAATTGCAGTGAGTGATTTGACCTGCTCGTCATATTTCTCCATAGCAATGGCCTTGTCCAGTTGCCGACCGTCCATGTCCTCTAGCTGCTTCTTGATTGTCTGAAGTGATTTGGCCTGTTCTTCATACTGCTGTGTGACATTGTCCTTGTTTGGCTGGCTGGCATCCATTTCTTGAATACCCTTTTCAATGGCTTGTAGCAATTTATTTTGCTCTTCGTGCGCTTTCTTAAGGTCATCCTTACTAGCTTGCTGAGCATCGATCCTTTTGAGGAGATTCTCGGTTGCCTTGAGTGCTTCAACCTGGTCCCGATGCTGTTCAAGCAGGTGTGCCTTCTCAAATAAGTGGCCATTGACGTCTTCTTGAAGTTTCTGGATATCCTTTTCGCGATTCCTCATTTCGGTCTCATGTTCCCGTTGCAATTTACCTGCAAGTGTATCGAGCTGACCTTGAAGCTGCTGTGCAAGTTCATTTTTCTTCTCCAGTGCAGTGGCATTCTCGTGGATAAGTTTCTCATACCGTCGTTCTATGTTCGTGATCTCGTTCCTCTGTTGTAACTCTGCCTCTTTAGATGCATGGTCGTGGTCTTTCCGGGTTACTTCGAGCCTATATTCGAGAGCTCGTTGCTGGTCTCGAAACTTGTGTATGGCTTTGCGATGGTCTTGTTCTAAGTTGTTGCGTTTTACAAGATGATTGCGCTCTGCACTCTGCATCTGAAGCTTCAAATCAACATTTTCGTTCTTGACCGCATTAAGACTATCTGTGAGTTTCGCATTTTGGTTTCCTAGGTCGAGGGTGGCTTCTAGACGTGCTTCTGTTTCTAGTTAGGGAATGCATACTGTCAGACGGATTTACCGAGGGCTTCTCACGGGTTTCAGTGCTCGTCTTCAAGTATTGCTGCAGATCCTTCTGGTTGTCGAGGCTACTTACGAGCATCTGCTGAATTTTGCCCAACCTTACGTCGAGGCCATTGACTTTCGTATCAAAATGGGAACCTGGAACCGTCAAACAGTTAGAACAACAACGGGGACTCCAATTATCATAGACAGTGGCTCAGAACCGATATCTTAGCCCTTGCCAAGCGTTATTTCTGCAACTTTTCCATGCTTCTGGTGAATGGCTGGATTCAACAGGCTACAACTACTCCCACGAAGCGGATTGGCAATCAGTAAGAATGGCATTTACATACTCGTTATATGACCATGAGCTTCAGTTTGTGATACTGTAGATGTAGCTAGGCTAGTCAAAACTCCCCTCGGTGCGGCGGTGCTAGTTGCATCTCGGAACCTCGAAGCTCGTCCTGGAGCGACCTTCGGAGTGCCACCTTTAAGCGACGATTTATTATCTTTCCCTATATCAATATTTCCGGGTCTTGTGGGTGTGGAGCCTGGTACTTGTCCCTTAGATTTCAAACCGTAGGCCCACATACCACCCCCTGACAGCGCCGGGGTCTTGTATTCATAGTTGGCATAGAAGTAAACCATGATGCGGCGATTCCGATGCTGCTAACTTGAGACGAGGTTCAGAATACCTTGATTGACACAGCTTAAGGTATATTCTTTTTGCCGGACTCGAATAGGACTTACATTAGGCTGCGTTTGCTTGACGGCAGCATGGCAGCATAGCTGAAGACAAGACCCTAATCCGGATAGCAAAGGGAATTTGTTAAAGGAGAAAATGGATATGTCAAGATCGGGTTCTTTGTGGGTAAATCAGTCCTAACGCACTTAGTCATAGTTCCAACTTTCAATAAAGGGGCGTTCAAACGTGATACAAAGGCTGGGCACAGCTCAATAACTATGCCATTGCACCCCCTTAACAAAAAGAAAAGAACTTGACGTTGCAGATCTTCTGTAATAGAAGCCTTTAGCATAAATTTCCACGAGTATAAGTCAGATAAATTCATTTATCTGACCACGTTACCTGTATTCCATGAACACTGAAACAGTTATTAAGTCGTAAAAATGGAAAGGCTCCCTTCGATACGTGTACTTGTGATGTACCGCAAAAATGATCAACACAGAGCAACAAAGGTACGTTTCCATTCATGCACTGGTGCTCTACACAAGTGATTGGTACCAATAACTTCAAACAAAGGATTTTGAGGATAGTCCTTACACGCCCCTGACACACCAATCGCTGTTTAGTACCATTGCTAAACCATTGGATAATGCAGATCGGTCATAACCTTGAAGTGTTAATCATCTCCTGGTAGCTATGTACCGTAGCTCTCCCACCGGGCCTGGCGTTCCTTCGTGTCCCTACAGCAACAACCGACAACGACCGACCGTGACTACATATGGGAGGATACAGCACCGACGAGCAGAAAAGCTCAAGTAGTGAAGTGGTAGCACGCCAGACTTCCAAGCCAGACCCCCAACGTGCAATTGGGTCGGTCGTAGCTGAAATCTCTGGAGACTCGGGTTCAAACCCCGGCTTGAGCAAAGGATCAATTAGACAATTGATTCTTCCTTTTTTATTATGCAGGAAATACATGTCGGTATGTACGTGTCACTACAAGTGTTTTTACGGTGCGGTTAGTCGACCAATAGATCCAAGGTATTTGTTCCCTCAAAGTTGACTCCCACCCAACATTCCCCATTGCAGAGATGAATTCTCCTCATAATTGTTATGCATATACAATGCCTTTTACGAGAATTATGGCATTAAACGACGCGATGATTATTTCAATGGAGGTTCATCTAGTAATTATATACGAAAGGTATGGCAGCCATGACATGTTATGGGCACAGCATATACACCCCCCTTCCTATCATTCTTGTACGCACTGTGACATCTTGCGGATAATTAGCTGCATTTGTTAAAAGCACCATCACCATGCATGATGCACCTAATACCTGTTGTTACTGCCTTACCCAGCAGTGTAACCCAGCGAGCGTAAGATAGCTTATCATTGCACTGCGAGCAGGATGTCACGCAACGCAATCCACTGCAACCAGGACCTCTGGTGGATGGATTGCAGTAACTGCAACCAGCCCCTTGGATTTGGTGGATTGCCGTTACGCAATTGCAACCAAATTGCAATGGCGTTGCATTGGTTGCAGTACCCAAATCGGGTTAAAGTAAGGGCATATATAAAGGTCGTAAAACGGATTTTGGGCGTTTATCTGGCATATCCGAAGCACATTATTAGCAGCCCTGCCTAATAAAAGGCTGTTTAATAAAAGGCTGTTTAATAAAAGGTTCCAACCCATACCTGGCACCCCCCTTTTAGCAACTCCCCCCCCCCCCCCCCCCCCTCCCCCTTAGCCTCCACTTTAACCCTTACTAGGTACCTGATAGTCCCTATAATCCTTATTGTGGCGGTATATACTAGCCACAATCACCAGCCACTGCAACGTGCAACCAGTTACGCAACTAAGGGAAGGTATCGTGGGTTGCGTTGCAGGTTGCGCAATTCAGAAAAATCCCGAATGGATGGGTTGCAGATGCTGGTGGCAACCAATTGGTAGCAATCGCGTTGTACAGGTTGCGTTGCGTAACACCCTGACTGCGAGGATTGCAAGTCGCAATACGTCTTGGTCATGTTAACCAATTGCAAGTAAGCTTATTATAGTAATCGCAGCGACGACAGCTTCTGATTGGAGCGAACCTTCAACATTTTATACAGTAGATCAACCATCGGGTCAGACATGCCAAGCAAGCTCCTTGGGGATGGTTACCCTCTCCACCCAATATAAAAGAGTAACACCCATTGCCCGGATACTCTCTGAACTTCTTCAAAACCTACTTTAGAAATACGTATGATATGTGTATAGGTTCATGTTCAATCGTTAGGCTCTCGTTATTAAATTATTACTGCGCCGCGGATAACATACCCGTGATGCCAAGAACGGGTACGGGTACGGAGAATCAAAGCTGATGTAAGATGTGCCAGTGTATCACTGGATTGGATTGGATAATAGCTTATGCAAATGAATCATTTCTTCTAGGTGTTTACGGATTGCTGTATCACTGAATGTATACGCATAGTCTCGTGGGGGCCCAGCTGGTCAGGCTGTGTCGCCACTCGGCGTAGGTTTCAGGCGCCCCTGATTACTCCTTAGACATGTTTAGGAGCACATGCACTGGACCCAACCGGACTAGGATTGGATGTGGCTTGATGATGAAGTTGGTATGTTTTCCTTGGCGACGATCCCATCTGACTGCATACGATGCATTTACGCTCTGCTGGATGTATTATGCAAACTAGGGTGGCATAAGCTAGCAACCAACATTCGACTGCGGTTTGGCGGCACAGGATTACTACCGGTGTAACACAAGATGACAAGGCTCGGCTATCCTTCTCGGAGCTCTCGAGCATCTCACCCCCGGGCGGAATCCTAGGAACTTTACAGGAGATATAGGGGCATATCGTCTAAACGTCTCTCAGAGGTTAGTTTCAGTTCATATGCACTATCATTACCCCGATCGTTGCAAGCATTCAAATTTTAATGATCCCGTATTGATATTTCGACAGATACAAACATGTCACTGGACCAAATCTCTTTCCTCGCACCAGCTGAGCAAGAGAGAATTCTCAACGGTCCCGCACTTCAACCCCCAGCGGGCATAGTGCCCAACTTCGAGAACCCGCCCAATGGCAATACTCTCTGTCGTGCGGTCCTCACAGTTTGCTTGGTTCTATCTTCGCTTTCTGTTTTAAATCGTGCCTACTCAAGAGTTTTCTGTTTGAAGAGGATTGAGATAGAAGATTGTGAGATGCTCAGAGACTTTCAAGATCGGAACCATATATGATGTATGTGTTGGCTAACCTAATATATATAGACCTCTCAATCACGGGATACGTTAGCTACTTTGCCTTCACCATAGATAGTATAATACAACGGTTGCTGACTTCTCAAGCAGGCAGCCTTTATTGTATATGTCTATTTTATCTACTGGCATATCGCAGCAATCGGTGGACTGATACATCAGTGGGATATTCGGGTGAGGGATTTGTCAACGAGCCTATACGTAAGTGGAGATGCATTCAGTTATCGCCTATAACTCTTTGATGTAAGATATTGATTATATCATAGATCATATACGTCGACAATATGATGTACCAAGTTACCATGATGGTCATGAAAACTTGTATCTTGAGGGAATGGATTCGAATATTTGTGCCTCGCCGTGTTCGCAATTTCTTCTACTGGACATCTTATAGTTTAATATGTCTCACCGTCCTCTATTACTCGGCCACGATAATCGCCAACAACCTCATCTGCTTTCCCCACAAGAAAATATGGGATAAAACCATCCCAGGTGGACGTTGCGGCTCTAGTAAACTCACCTTCGTTTCTGCCGCCGGTATTAACGTCTTTCTCGATATTTTTATACTCGTTCTACCGCAGAAAACCCTTTATGAGCTCCAGCTATCAAGTTCCAAGAAGCTTGGCCTCTTGCTGATATTTACTATCGGACTCCTGTAAGATATGGTTCATAGCTTGTCAGACTTCCTGCAATGTGTTATCGCTGACACGACAGGATTCGATCAATAGAACATGCCTATGTGCTTGTGGACGAATGGCAGCAGCTGTCCAGTACTATCAGTCAGACGATGTAGTATACACTATATCAAAGGTGTCACTTTGGTCCCTGGCAGAAATGACATGCACGTTTCTTGTATTTTGTGCGCCTGCTGTTCCAAGCACTCTCGCTGGTTTGGGGTTGACCAAGTTACCATCGATCTTGAAGCCATTGGCGTGGAGATCATGGAGTGGCACTTCCAGGAGTCGAGCACCTACCTGGCCACGCTCTAATCGCGAGAGACTGGACCCCAGGAATGTCTATCAGCAAGGTATTCATAATGGCATCCCGCTAAGGAGTTTTCCTGCAAGAGGCACGGCTTCAGAATCGACACAAAACTTACAAGACACCTAATAGGGGAAGAAATGGGGGGGTTCTCAGCTGGCGGAGATGGGATCATGAGATTAAGACGACCGGCATATGCACAGGCAAAGAGCCAAATATTATAGAGACCTTTCCCTTCTTAATATACCTATACACTCTGGAGTGTGGTTTCTCATGAATTTCTCCGTCCCATGTCTCTCGCTCCCTTGGCTTAGTATAGGCAAATGCCATATTCGATTGACTTCCTGTTGATATGTACCGACAGAACACTTACCCCCTATTTTAGGCACTTAAGCACTGGAATAGGCGCAACTCTACAGATATATATCCTTTCACGGTTTCCTCCCAATGACAATCCACCGAACAGAAGTTAAGTAGCACCCGTTTCGAGTCTCTTCGGCCGCACGGGGAAGCAGCTCCTCCACCTTTTTGGCCATTTCCTCGTTCTTGGTCTTGCGCGCGATAAGCTCATATATCAAGAGACCGCATTCGTGGAACATGAACTCAAAATGCGGTGAATCGTCGCGCGTATCCGTCTCGACATCCGTAAAACCACTCTCCGTGAGAAGTTGAGGCAGCTTGCGGAGCCAGGTTGGTTTGAACCGTGGATCTTGGACGGACATAAGCTTGAACAACGAGTTCAAGCCCTCGGTCGTGGCGTTGGGGTCCGCTTTCTTAACGCTGACGGTTTCTATATCCGGTTCCCCCCATTGTACGTAACCACCAGGTTCTACGAACCAAAGGTTATGGCATTAGTACAAGTACCATATGATAGTGTAAGGAGGAATGCCAGGGGGTAAGCTTACTTAGTAACTTGAACAGCTTCTCCACTAAGCCCGGTATTTCGTCATTAAGCAACACGAAGGACAAGAACCGGACGTGGATTACATCGTAAACACCAATGAGGTCTTCTGGAATGTCATCCCTGACGTCCCATTCGCGCAAAGTCACATTGGAAGGAAGAAGTGTGAGAGGCGGCGCTGCTTGTAGCGAGATATCTAATCCGTCTAGCTTGGCAGATTTGGCGATGCTGGCACGAACATCAAGTAGCCATATTCTGGAGAAGCATTAGCCGAGGCTCGTCTCCAACTAGGACAAGAGAATCTTTACACACGAGGTGCCTGTTCCAATATCGGCCACTCGTAGTTCAGGACTGTCGATTGGGATTTTAGGATGTACAAGATACCCAAAGAGTTTAGTCCAGAGGGTGTGCATCAAGTTGATACTGTGATTACAGCTGTTAGTTTGACTGCGGTGACGGCATAACGGAGAATGGTGAGCGCTATGAAGTTACTAACCGACAATTGTCGAGGAAGTCCCGAGTGAAGACATATTCTGGTTTGGATGCCATTGTTTGTTGTTGAACAGAGATGGAGAGTTTGCGTGTATGCAGTTGTCATCACGGGAAGAGCGGGAGACATAGCGGTATTTAAGTTAACGACATTTTACGGGGAAGCATATAGTTGATTGGAGAAGAATTCGGCATTCTGTTAGTTGCAGCTTTGGGTCTGTATAGTGAACCTTTTGCTAATCATGTAGTACCCACCCAGATCCGAGCCAACCCGTTTTGCGTTGATGGGCGGGGACT